TTCTTGGAGACAGTCACAGACCAGGTACTGTGAAAGGCCGACTATTGCTCATCCCCCCGCCCGTCCTGAGAAAGCACAGGCTCCGCCCTCCAAACGTGACGTAGGCTCTGAGTGAGCCGCCCTTCCTCCGTCTATCGCAGGGAGGGAGGGGAGACAGGCGTGCACCCTGATAGCAGTAGGAATAAACTTTTATTCGTCATGGCGATACCTTAACCTTAAGTGTTCAACCTGTGTTGGACCCGGAATCGGACGAGGACTTTGAGGTGCACGAAGCTCAAGCACCGCGTCAACATCAGCTGAACATTACTGATTGGTAAAGTATTAATAAACACTAGTACATAAACTTATTATATCGTGTTCACTGCAGTGTAGAACAATGATCTTATGCTGTTGCTTTTGTTTAGTTGTTCATGTGGGAATTGTCAGCCGATGTGGGGTGGAGGCAGTGGAGCAGGGGACGGGACGGGTGCAAAGCGCGTTCTGCTAGGTCAAACGTGATATAGGTGTAGCTAGCTGCGTCATCGTTGTAGCAGGCAGGTTCGTTGTCACGTGGGAGAGTGGCAGAAATACACCGCAATTTGTTAAAAAAACATAGAATCAATCAAAAAAAAACACTTCAGCTACATATACAAAGCCCACACATCACTCTTAGAAGGTAAAAAGCTCTGAAAAGTTGATTTTGCATGAGATGGACCCTTTAAACTACATACACTTTCTCGAGAATCATTTGGAAAATTTCAGCCCGAGAATTGCCCATCTTTACTGAACTAAGTATATAAGTGAATGAAAATAAAACAACTCCGGGCGCGCTTTTGATGAGGAACAGCATTCTAACATGGCTTAAACCTCCCAAAGAATCAATTTTGCGTAATAGAGGACCTTTAAAGTTCAAATAGTGTCTAAATTTCTCCTTAAACGCCCAACATCAATCCACCAACACGGTCTCCTCTCCCTCTCCCCCACTGTCTTCGGTCACACGGTGGCGGAGCTAGTTTCTCTTTCAGGATCAAAGCTGATTTATTGCGTTTCCAGCGGCGTGGCGAGCTGACTGCGAGTGTGTTAACTTTATCTTCAAGGACGGGGAGGCAACAAGGCTTAAAGGAGTAATGGCGGAGGCTGGGAATCCGACGGAAAAAAGGTCATATTTGTCAGCGATAAGAGGGAGCGCAGCCCTGACAGTGACTGACAGAGCGCAGAGTATATGCAAGGCGTGAAGGCAAACAGCAGACGGAGGCATGCGAGCGGGGGGGGGGGGGGGGGGCTGATGCAACAAGTGGTTACTATGGATTTCCATATTATAGTGAAAAATGAGTAACTCTTTGTTTTACACACCAAGTCATAGTGAAAGACTTTTTGATTGATTGATGTATTCAGAATTTTAGACTATAAGGTATGAAGACTGTTATGGAGGAAGATGTACTGTAGATATGTGGTACTTTTTCATGCACTTAGACCATATGTAGATGTTATTTTACATTTTATTCATTACAAACTATAACAGAGAGAGTTACTTTTTTGATCCCAAGGGAAATTAAAGTTTTGCTGCGGTTACATTTTCACTGCGCTTCTCAGTGGCCTTTGAGTGTCAGTCAAAGGTCTCAGTGCAGTTGAACAGCAGGACTGGTCATGTAAGGTCAGCAGATTTGTATCAGGGCAGTTTGAGGAGAGGAACGGGTCCAGGGCAGCTGCGAGGTCTTAAAAGTCTTAAAAAGGTCTTACATTTCGTGTTCTTCAATCAAGGCCTTAAAAAGTCTTAAATGATGTTGTCCAAGTCTGATTGTTTTCACAAAGGTCTCAAATTTCATTAGCCTATTTCTTTGTATACTCAACTAATGTTAAACAGAGAAAAAAAAACAACAACAACGTGAAATCAGGTAACATGAATGAACATTTAATTTGGAGTATGCACAAACAATACTTTGTTTGTCTTGTTAGAATGTTGTAAATGATTTTTTGGCCATTTACAAGCAATGCATATTACTATAAATGAGTTCTATATGAGATTTAAAGCAGTGAGTAATGGTCATTATTAGAATTGGATCTGGTGTTTTTCACCCGCATAATGGGTGCAATGTTGGTCTTAATTTTCATTTAAGTGGTCTTTAAAAGGTCTTTAAAAATGTTAAATTTGGGGTAGTCAAACCTGGGGATACCTGAGTTCCCAGGACAAAAGATCTCTCTGATGTTTTGGTTGGTGACGAAATGGTTCATTCCCTCAAAGAGTTTCTTCTGGGAGGTCTTTTGCCACATTTGCTGCCACATATGATGCTAAAAGCCTGTAGCGTCTAACATTTTCATAGCTAGCTCCTTAGCAACTCTTTTGCACAGTCTCCATGGCTACAGGTAAAATAAACAACTCATTTTACAAAATCCAACAGTCTATTACTTGCGTCCTTTGAACTGCACAGGCTATACTTCTCAGTTGGTTAAAATCCCATGATATGATGCTAAAAACTGAGCTCAAAAACAAAAAGTCTCAAAAACTGCTCAGTGTGTGAGCCAGGCAGCCACAGAAACAGCCAACCACTCAGGTGCCATGGCTGGCTGCTGAGAAAAAGCAAAAAGAGTTAGATTGGGCCAACAGGTATCCACACTTCAAACAATACTGAGCTAAAATAACTTAAAACAGACCTGTTACACAAAATCTACTTTTCAGAGCTTTTAACCATGTTATATAGTTGTTTCTCTTTCTCATTTTCCCTCTCAGTATTTAGAGTGATTGGTGCATGTTGGATGTTAGGCAACTAGACTCAATCAATTTAAATCACAAAAAATGTATTCCCTTTCCAATACAATTCTAATACAGAGCTCTGGGTCAGATCAGGGTCCCTAACAGCCTAAGCAGAGAGGACTTACAATCAGGCGATCTGAACTCCTCTCTATCTCTAAACCCAGAGATCTAAAACAACAGTATGAATATGCAAATAATATGTTCACGCCTTGGATCCTCCTTCAAGTGTCTCAAAACAATATTCAAACAGATCTATAAATTCAGTGTTTTGGTATGTGCATGTGGTGCACCCAAGAAGCTTTATTACTTGATATAGCCTTCATGGAGCAATCTTTTATCACGGATTTTCAAGACCATACTGCAGATCAATCCCACTTTTCAGAGCCACCAGCATACGCCCACTGCTCTGTACTTCATTCTCCAGTAGTGAGTGGAGATAGATGCACAGAAAATTAGGAAAGAAAAGCCTCAAATTGAAGACAATAGAGGATTATTCAAACACCCATGAATCAGTTTAATTACAGCTTAGATTTAATGATGAGGGAACACTGTTAGAACATGATTTAAAGCTCAAGAAAGTCAATTTTTAATCACACGCCCTTTAATCAGGATCAGTACAACATCACTGACATCCGGCCTTTAAGCTCCGTAAGCCAAGACAAACACACTTCATCAAGGATATTTTTTGCATCTCCAATTATTTTGAAGCACTCGTCCATACAATTTTAAATGACTATTTGAGTTATTCTGCTATAATGGACAAACAAATACAAATCATGAGAGCGCACTGGCGAACAATAGGTCAAAAGGGACAATAGTAAATCAAGGTTTAGATGATTTCTTTGACAATTTTAATGAATCTGTTTTTATTATAATGCAATATGCTACTCAGTTATAGTCTGAAGACCGAAGTTATAGTCTGTGGGTTCTCAAAATTGCTGCTTGATGGTGACCTTGGACCGTGCTGCCGAGCTATTAAAGAAAATCTTCTCTGTAACCTTGCGTCACACGTTGGGTTTCATGATACTGAGACTTAAGTTTTTATTTTAGCTGTGAAAGGGAAGAAGGAAGAGGCTCCATTGGCAAGGAGGTCTCCACAAACTGCGAATACTGGTGCTCACTCTGATTTAAAGGTCATATATAACAGAAAATTGACTCTTGTGAGCTTTCAGTTGTGTTATAATGCTGTTACCTCCTCAAAAACAGACCTGGAGTTGTGTTTTTGTTTCATTCACACTTCTACACCTCCATATTTCAAAATGCTCTGTTCCACCTTGTGATGTCATGTAGTCGTACTTTACAAGTTACCACCTACCTTTTACCTTTAATTTATTCGAGATTGGCAATTCCAGGGTTGAAATCATCCAAATGTTTCTAGTGAAGATATATAGAGTTTAAAACACAATGGCTTCTCGTATCACCACATGACATCACAAGGTGGAACATAGTGTTTTCAGGTGAGAGAACACAGCCTAAATACACAGGGTTTGTGTGATAAAAGTGTCTGAATGAAACAAAAACAACTCCAGATATATATATATTTTTTGACAAGGAAACGAAATAATAGCATAGATCAGAAAACAGCATAATATGGGCTCTTTAAGAAATTATAGTCTGAGCACAGTGTGTACTTTTCATGACTCATTTCTCATTAACTAATTACATCTGTTTACACAAAATGAGTCATAAAGTACTGAAAGACCCTCAGGAAATATCAGGGGTTAACGGGTAAATTCTTGTAATGAAATATGGTTATGTTCTAACTTAAGCTGCTGAAAGTGATTTCTGATTTATGCTTTAATTCCATTTTCTGATTAAAAACATACACAGAGTTTTGTATCATTCACACATTTTTAATACACAAACCCTGCATATTTAGGCTGTGTTCTTCTCTGTTCCACCTTGTGATGTCACATTGTAATACAGGAAGTGTGCCAATGTCTTTTAAAACTCCACACACCTTCACTACAATCATTTGGATGACTGAACAAAAAGAAAAAGGTAGCTGTTAACTTGAAAACTACCACTTCATGACATAAGGTGGAACTGAGAATTTTGCGTTTAGGAGATGTAGACAGATTAATAATGCAGGATTACTCAAAAATGTGTAAATAAAACACAACTCCAGGTATGTAGGACCTTTAAAAGAGAAGAGAACCCTGATTCTAACAATACTAAAGTTGTCCAGAGCATAAAAAACTAGAAAGGTATATTTTAATTAACTATGTACATTATGTTTAACTGCTGTTCTTCTGTTTGTGTTTCTCAGCGGCCAAGTACAACGGAGAACTCTACAACAAGCGGCGAATGATGGTGGAGCTTCCGTCCAAGGGAGGCCTCCCCATGCAGCCGATGGGCAGCTCTCGACAGACCATGGGCAACATGACCCCTCCGATGACCTCCAACCCCATGACCTCTAACCCCATGACGTCCAATCCCATGAGCTCCGCCCAGATGAACCCCTCCATGGCCCAGATGATGCCCATGACCTCCATGACGCAAATGACATCCATGACGTCCATGCAGCACATGACTTCGATGACGCCAATGACCTCCCTATCGCACATGACTTCCCTGACCCCCATGACTTCCCTGGGACCCTTGACACCTGAACCCGTGGCGACCTACACCACCCTCCCGACAGAGCGCCACATGGCCGGAGGAGGCGGATTGAGCGGACAGAGGCCCAACGGCCAAAAACTGAAAAGCATCCACACTCACCCGGCTCACAGCGCGCACAGCCACCCCCACGGGCACAGTAGCAAACCGCCGGGGATGGGTGGCACAACCTTGGCGCACATGTCGGGGACCATGCCGGGAGGTACGTCTTTGGGTATGTCCAGGCTAAGCGATGCCCCCATGGGTACGGCAACCATGGGGCGCCCGTTTGCGTACAACTCCAACACGATATCAGCCTCGCACTCGATGGGACTTGGGATTAAGGGATGGGACGGAACGGAGACGGTGGGCCGGAGGAAGGCTTACGGGCACAAAAGGCCGCAGTGCACCATCCTGGAGCCCAACCAGCTCCACGGGACACGGGCCCAAAGCCGGAGCCAACACTTCCTCCCCACCCAACCGTACTTCGTCACCAACAGTAAAACGGAGGTGACGGTGTGAGACATTCCGCGGAAGATTTCGTTGTTTTCCGAAAGTATGCATGTTGGAAGCGTGGTACCGGTATCCCTACGGAAACCACCTTCATCGGGCAGGTCTTTTTGTGTCCTCGTGTTGAAGGCTTGTCGCTGAATGATTGTCACATGTGAGTGGTCCTCGTTTTCCAAAACCAAGAAGTTCACCGAATCTACTGGAGTACATGGTTCGTAAGGCATCATTGGCGAAATGCGTCTGTGTCCACATGGGATATTAGATTGTCTGACATGACTAATATCCACCAGTAATGACTATGTTACATCGTGGCACCACCTAGCTAATAAAACTGCCGACCGCTGATAAAGATGGACAGGTTTTTATGAAGCAATATAAAGGAACAACCACGGAACGGATTGCGAGAGGAGACCACCGGAACAGCTCATCTGCCAATCAAAGAACTACCTTGTATTCCCCATACAATTCTTCACAGGGCTCGGAACCGGACACGCGCCGATGGGGACGGACATTGTAGGGCTTTTTGAACTCTGTCCTTTCCATAAACTGTGCACAGATTGGAGATTGTCACTGCCATTGTTCAATTGTGGTCTCGCGTGCGGGCTGACAGCTGGTCGGGGTGGGGAGTAAGCAGCTAGCATCTGGATGGCGCAAAAGCTAACCAAGGGATAGCGTACACGACTACACACTAACTAGCTTACACATTGAAACGTGACGTGGGTTTTGGGAGCAGAATTCTGATGAAGCAACAGGTGGCTAGTAGGCTACAAAATCGACGTAATATGGAACCAAACTAGCTAATCCTGGCTTGGGTTTTACCACAGATTGTCAAAAGCTTGGTACACAAAGTACTAATGCAACATGTTTTCACCAATGGTCAGTGAAGAACCACAAACACCAAAACCTAGAAATTTTGAAATTTCAGCTTTCGGTGCAGTTATAAAATGTTCAAAATTTTCGACCATCTCTTCCAAGTTCAACAAATTGTGCCAAATTGTTTATTTTGTTACCCTTTTGATATGAAGTAGATGCTGTATAATGAGAATTTAAAATGTGAAATACTTACTAAATTCAGTGTGATATCTCCTAGAACACGGGCTAGTTTAAATATATATACGTTTGCAAAAGAGATTTTTCATACACAAAACGGTTTCATATTGTGAGTGCCAAATTCAACTTTTTACAAATCTTTAAAGTGGGCATATCATGTATTATATTGGCCTTTATTGGCTTTTAAAAGGTGCACTATGTAACTTTTTGGATGGAGGTCCATCACCTGCCTGCTTCTATGGATATATCATTGCCTGGAATGTTCCACTGTATGACATTAAACAGCTCTACTTTACATTTATTCAATTACAGATGGTTTTATAGCTCAAAAATACCTTTAAAAACAGGTATTCTGACTGTGAGCGCGGTTGTCTCTCCACAAATCTGACCTGTAACTTGGTCAGGTTTGGTCTCCATGAAGATACAAAGGTTTAATGTTGTACTGTGAAACATTCCAGACTAAGCAATAACATCTTTAAGGACAGATTCTCCACTAGAAAAGTTACACAGGGCACTTTTAAACATGCTTTTGGTCACTATGGTGTTTTTATTTCACGTTTCCAAACTTGAAATAATGTCCTTGTAAGTCCCCATTTCCAGGCAATTTGATTTCACGTTAGAGCTCCCTCTGCTGGCAGCAACAGACCTGAACCATGACGTTTTAGCAGCCAATCCTATGTGCTCATGTGTGCAAAATATGACTGAAATTATTGCATGTACAAGATATGTTCACTTTAAAACAACCATATAATGCAAATAATGTAGGTCTGTATTGGTCATTCTGGAAGCTTTCACTTATATATTCAATGGACTCTAAAAGTTAAAGGTACATCGTGTAACTTTTATGAAGATGTTGTTGCTTTGTCTGGAATGTCCCGGTATGGCATGAAATGTATCCATCTTGCATTTACTACATAGCATGGGTTTTTATTGACTTAAAATATGGAAGCTTTCAGAAATATTCGTGTGCGTATGATAGAAATCCATGCGTATTTGGCTTATATTGAGCAGAAGAAACATCGATCGAGAAGCCGATCTTTTGCTCCGCATACAGACTGAACCAGGACTAAACTAGGACTGATCCCAGGACTAAACCAGGACTAAAATAGGACTAAACCAAGACTAAACCAGGTCTAAACCAGGACAAAAACAGGACTAAAACAGGACTAATCTTGAACTTGAGAGAGAGAGAGGGACAATTTCGAGCCCGCGGACCAGGGTGTCCATAAACTGCGATCAGTCAAAGGCTGTGCTTAGCCCGGTGGAGTGCGAAGCTCTGCGCCGGTCTTTTCTCCTGCGGTCACGGTCTATGCGGGCGCACCTCCAGGCCTGTCCTGACTCTCAGTGCTGGTTCAGTTCTGGTTCAGTTGTGGGTTCAGTGCTGTTTTAGTCCTGTTTTAATTCTGGTTTAGTCCTGGTTCAGATCTGGTTTAGTCCTGTATTAGTCCTGTAATTCTTGATGTCTTAACTTAAAATTCACACAGTACATTTTATATACAACTGGACTCATTTGAGAGTAATATTTATTTTATGCTCAACTACAGCCAAATATGCTCGCATTTCTATCCTATGCACATAAATATTTCTGAAAGCTTTCTTACTCCAAATTAAACTTGCTGTCTCCCTAGTGATAAGTAAACGTAATGCCATACTGTGAAATATTCCAGGCAACATCTTCATAGAGACTAGCAGTAAGCGGACCTTCCCTCAGAAAAGTTACACAGTGCACTTTTAATTTTGATTTTTTTCTTGCCTCACCGTTATAAAGACACAGGGTCTAACATTAAAACCAGTAAGCGCGCTCACACAAACACTGCCACTGGAAGCTGCTCATAGGATCATAGATATAGGTGCAAAGAGTTGTGCAAAAAGACCTTAAAATGATGTTGGAGACACTAATGGAGACGTTTATTTGCAACTCCTGCTAACAGCACCACTTTAAGCCTAAGTGCTGTTTCTTGCATCATTTTCACATAATTACAGTGCATTTGTGCAATCACCTAACTTTCTAACTTCTAACTAAAAAACATTATAACTGTCATAAGAACATCCAAAATTTGCTAATGGAACGGCTACGTAACTTACCAGTCAGGTTCAATTTTTACTGGCAAAAGTTAAGCTATGATTTAACGGACTGATGTAATAACTGAGCCATTTTAATGAAGGGTAAAAGTACGTCAATGGTATGAACTAGGGCTGGGACAAGACATACGTAATTTCTATGAGATGAGACATGAGATAAGTCCACAAGTCGAGTTAACGTTGTCACGATACAAAAATTTTAAACTCTACTCAACACTAAGGAATAGACTCGAAATTCAAAAGCTAATTCCAATACAACAGTGATAATTCAAACACAGTACAATGTCATTTTCAACATTAAATCATAGTACTTTCTTTTAAATTACCATGTGGTCTTATATCTGTGTAATACCTCAGTGATCCACGTAGGTTCCATAGTGGTCCATGGGTGTGTACTCATCTATGTGCTCTTAAAATGCTACAGCTCAAGATCGTTCTGAAGCTATTCACTATATATCACTTCCTGATCAAATTCCGTTAGTGTGGCTTCTTGCACAAAGGAGTATGTATTTTTGAAACTAGAAGTAGTATCGATTAGTAGGGCTGAACGATTTTAAGAAAAAATTGAATTGCGATTTTTCTGGCGGATATTGCGATACCGATTTCATCCACGTTTTTTTATTTTTTTTTTTTTCAAATCAAGTTTCAGTGCACATGGACATTTGCAAACATCACAGAACTTACATCATATCAGAGTCGTGCGTGGCTACTACTGTCAAAAATCCGTCATGACCTCACAGGCATTACTTACTGAGCAGAAGAAACATTGATCGAGATGCATATGGACTTTGCACCGCATATGGACTGAACGAGGAGTGATCCCCGGACTGAACCAGGAGTGATCCCAGGACTGAACCAGGAGTGATCCCAAAACTGAACCAGGAGTGATCCCAAGACTAAACCAGGAGTGATCCCAAGACTAAACCAGGAGTGATCCCAAAACTGAACCAGGAGTGATCCCAAGACTAAACCAGGAGTGATCCCAAGACTAAACCAGGAGTGATCCCAAAACTGAACCAGGAGTGATCCCAAGACTAAACCAGGAGTGATCCCAAAACTGAACCAGGAGTGATCCCAAGACTAAACCAGGAGTGATCCCAACACTAAACCAGGAGTGATCCCAACACTAAACCAGAAGTGATCCCAAAACTGAACCAGGAGTGATCCCAAGACTAAACCAGGAGTGATCCCAACACTAAACCAGGAGTGATCCCAAGACTAAACCAGGAGTGATCCCAAGACTAAACCAGGAGTGATCCCAAGACTAAACCAGGAGTGATCCCAAGACTAAACCAGGAGTGATCCCAAGACTAAACCAGGAGTGATCCCAACACTAAACCAGGAGTGATCCCAACACTAAACCAGGAGTGATCCCAAAACTGAACCAGGAGTGATCCCAGGACTGAACCAGGAGTGATCCCAAGACTAAACCAGGAGTGATCCCAAGACTAAACCAGGAGAGATCCCAACACTAAACCAGGAGTGATCCCAAGACTAAACCAGGAGTGATCCCAGGACTGAACCAGGAGTGATCCCAAGACTAAACCAGGAGTGATCCCAAAACTGAACCAGGAGTGATCCCAACACTAAAGCAGGAGTGATCCCAAGACTGAACCAGGAGGACTAAACCAGCACTGAACCAGGACTAAAACAGGACTAAAACAGTGTTTGGTGTAAAACTGTGTTGTCTCAGATCATGATTTTCGGCCCAAAACAATAGATCGTTCAGCCCTATAGATTAGTATCTGATTTTCAAGACTTTTGACAACTCTAGATCCAATTTACAAGTTTGACCAGCGTTTTTGGACTTATAACTTCCTAAAAAATGTAAGTCACTGGAACTGTACCAAACCAAATTCAAACACATGGAAAATAATCTT